CATGTGAGTGAAATTTGTAATATGGCCTCTCGGCGTTTATTCTCACTCAGTCTCTTAAAAAGAAGTGGTGCTCCTGTCAGTGACATGGTTAAAGTCTATACTTGTTATATACGGCCGATCCTTGAGTACTGCTGCCCGGTGTGGCATTCGTCTCTGACAGTTCTGCAGTCCGACGGATTGGAGAGGGTCCAGAAAAGAGCAGTGAAATCCTAGTATATAATGTTCGTAAATCATTGCTTCAATCAAATCGACATCGTCATATGCTTCCTACATCAAATCCTAATAACAAAAACTTAGGACATAATTCACTTATCACCTCACAACGTTGCCGTACCAAAAGGTACCAGAATTCACCAATTCCATATTATAACCTGGCTGCTCCAATTGCTGATCATCTCCGGTCCTGTTCTGTCTTGCTCTTTGGACCAATGCCACACCGGCTTTCGGACTCATATAGTGCCAAATTGTTGGTTTCTCAGAATTTTTATTTTTATTTTAATTTATATTTATATATATTTAATGTAATCTTTTATGTATTTTGTAAATATTCATTCCGAATTTGTAAATGCGTATTTTAATATTTTTGTGTAATTTCATTATTTGTAATTAAGGTAATGCAATAATTTCAGCCTTTGGCTACTTTTTGTATTATTTTTATACCTGAATAAAATAAATAAATAAATAAGTCGAACCGACATTTAGACGCGGTGATGGTGCACCGTTAGCTGAGTCAAACTAATATTATATAGGCTTAAGCAACACTATTACAGAAAATAATATAAAAGCGATAAGATAATTATGCCAACATTCTTCACTTCCAAAAAATGTTTCAGAGTCATCCATTTGATGTTCAGGGGCTTGAAATTGTTATGTAATCATTATGCAATGTTCGTCGTAACTACCTGATCTTTTACGCCTATGTAATGTCAGCTAAAACCTTTCGTTAATTTTGTGAGATGTCAAGAGTGCCAACAAATATTATGATAGTTTTCAATTTAACACTATTTAAAAATGTAAATATTTAGTCATAATATAAAAACTGATTATAATCCAACATGACATTTACTTTATTGAAGAAAATAAATTCATTTCATTTCATCATCTTATGGCTTTAAAACAATGAAATTAATTAACATTAGGTTGGTTTTTTTTTTATTACATTTCAGGAATTTAGAAAAATACAACAAAAAGACCTTTAAGGAGAACCAAAAGTGTAGAACACTATCGAGGGATCTCCAATGCAAACATGAGTTAAAACCAACATCAAAACAACATAATAAATACAATGTAAGATAAGAAAATAAGAGAAGCAGATAATAAGTATGAAAAATAACATTGATACGTATAGCAATAGCAATCGAAAGGATTCGTGTAGAACAAAGTCTACACGAATGCTGATCAAAATATATTAAGGGGATTTTCATTTTAAAGAAAACAAAGATAAAACAAATTTTAGTGGCAATAAGTGTATAAGTAGGCCTATTTAATACAAATGACATTAGTTATAATGAATAAATCTCCCTTTTGATACCATTGCAAATGATGGTCTTGACTTCAGCATCATGTCCTGGACAGGCTTAATTCCTAAGTAATTGATGAAGATATTATCGCTTATATAGAAACATGGCTTACAAATGACGATAAAGTTAAAACCACTCTGAATATGACTGTACATCGGTATAGAGAAATAAAACACACAAAAAGGGGAGAAATGCTTTAGGAGTCACTGTATTAGCTCATAATTCAATATAAAAATATCTTAAACGAGTATACATGTAAATGTTACTATAAAGCATTTTTTTACTACTAAGCAAAATCTACATGAATGCTAATCAAAGTATATTAATGGGATTTATAAACATCACGTGTGAAAATGCATCTATCTATGATAACCTCAACTACGAACCCTGGCGTCAACTGGAAGACGTATTTTCACAATCCATATTATAATTTTATTCGAGGAATTTAATTGCAACGTTATAACAACAACTAACGAACGATACAAATGTGTTTGTGTCCGGGTTAATCAACAATTTAGTAGATGAGATTATAAATAATAGAATTTCAAAAGATAAAAAGACCAATAATTTTGGAAGAAAATATAAAGTGTATAAACTCAGAACTTCGAATACTGAACGGCCGCACACAGGGCGATCTAAAACGAGAATTTACATTTATTTTCAAGCAAGGCAAAAGTGTAGTGATTATGCAATCGCTTCGAAAGATTTTCATAAGCAAGTAACGGCTTTTACAGTAATACCTTACCCTGAATTAGTGTATTTGCTAATTAAAAACAGCTATAAACATTAAAATAAAATTAACAACAAAAGAAGCTAATATTCAAGTTAAAACTCGGTTTGGGTGCTATGATGTTGATGTTACACCTATGTTTATATAAGACAAAAATGGTAGGCCTATAAATTGAAGAAAGCTTATGTCATGAAAACATAATAGATGTAAATAGCTTTGAAAAAAAAACTGAATGAAATGTATAACGTAGCCGAGCATATGAAATGTAATTGTAACAGGAAATGTAAAGGGATTGCTAACCCATAAACGTAATAAAAATAATAAACCTTGGTACGACACAGAATGCAAAATGGCTTACAGAAATAAGCTAAAAAGGTATGTAAACTCTGTGCAAGTAATCACGATAGTGATATTACCTAATTTCTGAATGAACACAAAAAATACAAAAACTTATGCAGAAGGGGAAGGCAATATCATTAATCAAACCGGAGAAGGGTGCCGGGATTGACGGCATTTTTGATGACATGTTAACCTCTTGTAAGAATGTACTCAACCCTGTTATAACACGAATATTTTCTTCCGGATGTATTCCTGACTTATGGAAAAAGGGTATCTATTCCAATAATTAAAACAGGAAATGTTAACGATCCAAACAATTACCATGCTATAACACTTATTTCGTGCTTTGTTTTTGTAACCTCTTTACTTCTACCTTGAATACAAGGCTTATGAACTGGTCAGACATTTTCAATATACTTACTGAAACAGGCTGGTTGCCGAAAAGTCTACAGCACGTCATTAGATTGTGTCGTAATGAAATATTTGCGTAAAACCAAAGGAAGACTGTATGCCAACTTTGTCGAAAGGCTTTCGATTTAGTAAATAAACAGAACTGTGGTACACATAGGAACCTCGGAATTCAAGGAAAATTTGTATTATACTGCAAAACTATTATGCTGGAATATCCTCATGTTAAGAACAAAAAATTAATAGTTAATATATTGGATGTAAACTAGGTTACAATCTGTCGCCTCTTTTATTTTGTCTTACATTACTGATTTAGACGGGGTTTTTTTTTAGACAAAATGGTATAGATTTGATTACGGTAAATGATACAAAAAATTGCAATTTGAAAAATATGGTTGACATTGTGCTTTTAGCAGACGCCACTAATTTTACAAAAATGTTGAGGGCGCTTGGCAGACATTGTACTATGTATACTTAAATTAAATATAAATGTAAATATCGAAAAAACAAAAACAATGGAGGAATTGTTCAAGAAAAACACATCAATGGGTATATAAAGGTAATAATATTGAATTAGTGCCGTATTACGACTATATAGGTGTAAAATTCAGTCCGAGAGATGGATGTCAGTAGCAAAAAATACCGTAACAAAACAAGCAGAAAAGGGGTTATTCAAGATCAAAGGTTTTCTTGATGAATACCCCCATGTTAACCCTAATATTAAAATGTATATGTTTGATAGCATGCTCGTTCCAATTCGTCTTTATTGCTCGGAGGTATGGTTTCGACCAATGTAGAAGCCATAAAATAGTGCACTCAAAATTCTATAAAAATGTTTTAGATGTTCGATATTTAGCTAATAACGTAAGATGTCTAAGCGGCTAGGGCGTTTTCCTTTGTGGATTTAAGCTTACAAAAAATATAGTTTCCTATTGGCTAAAAATGTTTACTATGGATTCCGACCGCTTTTTACACGATATAAAAAGTTGGGTACTGAAGGTTAAACAGATAATTATCTAACACGGATTTGGTTTGACTTGGCTTAACTAAGGTGTAGGCGATGCTAAATTATTTCTTAAGAAACTATATTAATGGACAATTGCTTGCAAAAGTTCATTTAGTATTAATAATCCTTTTCGTAAAATGACACTTTAAAATTAATATAATTAATATTGACGACCAACTATCATACGGAACCCGAAAATATATTTCAATTTAACTGTTCCCTGCCAATACGAAACACGGCCGTAGATGCATAACTCTAATCCGCACTGGCTCATCCCTTATTTAAAAACAAGACATGAAGCAGACTCAATTACTTGCTGTCTTTGTGACGCGCTAACGAAATAGAACACGAATATCATTTTCTTTAACTTGCACAGCTTACAAAAAGGAAAGAGTGCCTATCCTGTCTTCATTTGTCTGGTCAAATCCAAATCATTATAAGATTATTCACAGATACTCGGTTACAGGTTGTTATTTAAGTTTCTTTACGTTGCTTTTAATATTAGAAAAAAGAAAGTTGTAGCTTATAACATCTAATTAATATTTATCGATCATGTTACTGTTATTGTTATATGTATGGCCTTATGGGCCGGTTACCTCATTGGTTAAATAAAGTCGGGTAGTGACCCGAATGAATGAATGAATGAATGACTTAAAAATAAAAATGTTTTTTTTTTTCAATAATACAATACATTATATACATACAGTAATTACTAAATGCGGATACTCAACTAATTACTTACAATTCATTCAATTATTAATTTGAACAACTACAAAAATATTATTTAAAACAATTCATTTAAAATTACATTCAATATTAATAACATTCATTCAATGAAAAATTCAACAATATACAATTGATAAGAAATTCATTAGACGATAAAGCGAAATATATTCTATTCAATTAACAATTAAATAACATTAATTAATTTTAATTGATTATTTATATTTCATTCAATTTTTATAAATTCAACTTCAAAAATATAATTAATTTGCATTTCCTAAACAAATTTACAAACCGTTCAATAATCAATTACAAAAATATACTGCAAAGATCAATTATGCTACTTCAAAAATAAAATGTAACTTCTAGACGATGCTTCGCTATGAGGCAGGCTTTCTTTAACGACACGTTGGTGATAGTGATTTGATATCAAAGCTGAGTGTTCATTGGTTCATGTCATATACATATTTGATGATGTGACTTACCAATGTGTTTTCTGACAAGAAAACCTTTCAGAGTCTAAAATCGAAGAGTTGTTTTCGTCGGGAATCGGATTTTCTAGGAATAAATGGTCAATTAAGATGATACAAACAATAATAATTATTACTATATGGGGTAAATCCTTTGTCTTTCAATTGTGGGTAGGTTACAAGCACTTTATGAGTTACAATATGGTGGGTACGGGGTCACTATTATTAAGCATAAGTAAGTCGCATGGAAATAATAAATTTTTGTTTTGTGTTTATAAATAAATGTATATTCCAAGTAAGACAGTTGATTTCAAAACACACTGTAGGGGCAGCAATCTCAGTTATGCTTACACATTAGCATGCAACATTATATTTGAACAATACCATCATAAACATCCGCTATCTTAATTATCGATTGACTTATAATCAAACAGCCCCCTTCATCTATAACTTTGTATTGAGCTGTCAACTTGTGACTCACTCTTATAGTTTTCCGGACAGTAAACCCTTCAGTACAATCATTTTAAACACTAAAGCGCAATAAATAAATTAATATTTTATCAAATCATTCCTTATTTCGAATTAAATTTGGAAAAAACCCTGTAGATGAAAGCGCATTGCTACTTAGTGAGTTTTGATGAAATGTACTACATCAATTACATTAAATACAATAAGAAGACCTAAAATGGATAAGAACGAACTGTACCATACAACTATTGTACATACTTTAAAGAAGAATAGTGTTGACTTTACTGTCATTTGTAAGCCTATCATTGTGTATTAAGTTTTGTTATCAATCCTTATTAGTAAAAGTGGATCATAATAGATTAACCGTTTTTAAGTGGGTTACTATGGACCTTCCCGGAGTGTCAATCAAACTTAACAACTGACCAATCAAAATAGGCCAGGAATAAGCGCGTGTTGTCGTTTACATACAGTTACTCTATTTTTTTTGTGGGATTTTGGCAACAATATCCAAGGGGCGAGGCTTAGCAGAAATGTACAGCATGGGTCACTAATAAAGCACTGGGTTTGTATTAGAAGTTTTATGGTATTTCTGGTTCTCTATTTTTCGGCTTGACATTAGTATAAGCTACTGTTCTCTTATCCAGCTGGGTGTTATTATTTGCTGTTCCTTTATGCGGCTTTATATTACTATTAACATAATCTGCCAATTCTTCAGTTTTGTGTTGTAGTTCTTCATATGTATGCTTAATATTTTCACCATGACCATCTGCCACATATCCCATATAAGTCTGCGAAGTCTGTGTGGGTATCTGAAAACACAGTGAAAAAGTGGCATTAAAGTTTACCTAATTGAGATTTTTTAAAAATTTAAAAATGCTTATATACCGGATGGTTTTGATCTATGTGTTTTATTATTATTATCATATTAAATAGAAATATTTTATTATCTAACCAACCCGTTTAATCCTGTTATAGCCGACCGATGCAGCAAGTACTCAAAATACGCCAACAATGATACCTACAAAGAAAATTCCAGTGGTCAGACCTCGATATCCGGAACTACCTGGATATCCGGAACTGCCTGGTGTCAAACTTGGGTATCCTGGATCTGAAAAATATAACAGAACATCATAACACATCTGAGAGCAGCACATCATTTTGGTGGCAGGGTTGTTTTCGCCTTTGCTACTCCATGGCATTGTCTTGAATATTTAATTAGTTTCGTCAAGTATTTGTTGTCTATTTAGTTGCAATGCACCTAACAATTGTTTTTATTTTTTTTTTCTTTCTGTGTTGCCAAAATGAACAGACTGAAAATGGGTGTGGTATGTTATAATTTGCAATCGCACACTGTAAACGCAAACACAACCGCAGCATATCAATAACAATGACGATGTCCAAGACAACAATAGCGATAATTATAATGATAATGATAATGAGTATTGTAAAATAGAGATATTAGGTTCTCGTATCTTACCAATCGCCGATTACAGAGTTGCCTTTTCAAATAGTTTGAAACATGGGTGTTCTCTATTTACTGTAATATATTCAATTCAATTCAATTCAATTAACATTTATTCAATTAATTAATAAATACATCAAGTGATAAATAAAGTTATACATTTACAAAAACACTATAACTATTCTTATTATTAACACTCTTCCTTTTAGCATTCTAATATACCGGTACATGATTTTTTTTTCACTCTTCCTATCATTATTTATAATATTATTCATATTAATATTGTTGATTTTTTTTAGGGTAATTTGTAGAAGAAAGCAACTGTTTGCAGAAAGCAGTTTTGAAGATATAACAACTTATCTTTTTACTCATAATTTGTATATTTTATCTAATTTGCATACTTACGAAGTATTTGGTTGAGGTCATAAATAAGCCAATACATCAATGCGAACTTAATATTAATATTATTATTTTGATCGATTTCAGCAAAAAAAAAAAGATTTGCATATCAGGCTAAAAATTGACGAGCAGAAAAATGAAAAACAAATCTCACATGATACAGTTACTCGAAAGTAACAGGTTTCAGAATTTCCAGCCTTATCATTAGCAGTGTACGTCACATTAATAAAAGCACTTAAATCACCATCCGGTATTGCTATCACTTGACCAGGAAAATGCGAGCTATTTACGGTGGGATAACAAACAGAATCATCATTCCACGTTGGAGGCATCCAACTCACCGAGGCTGATCGAGTTGTCGATGACAACAGTAGGTGCATGTCTTCCGGACAAGATGATCCATATGATGGCGGCGTTTTATCTTGATCTGAAAAAGGTAATTGATGGTTGGTATCGATTCCAGTCTTCTCCCCATGGATAAGAATTTTTTTCATATTGTTAGTTTCATAATTAAAGTATTGTAAAGTTTTCCTTTATTTCATTTATTATGTCATAGCAAGTAAGTAAAACAAACAGACCAATAAAACAGATTTAAAAAAAAAACACTTCGCAGTTATTCTATGATTCCATACCTCCGCCCTGTGTCTGAATACCGTACTGAACTATACACAGGCCGTGTATGATGGCCGATTCTATTATTTTCTTTACGCTCAAAGGTAAAACAAATTGAATTTCCGTGACCTTAATCTTGTCCTTTGATTTTTTTCTTCCCAAAATGTAATCATCTCTATGATTTACATTATTCTTAAATGTTGATTATTCATTCTTTATTTTTTACGTAAATGCTAACTTCATAGGTAATATTCGCTGCCATGTTGCAGGATTGCCCAAAAGTAGAAAATAAATCTATTGTCGATAAAAAATCCCCTTCAACGCGAGGTGCTTCATAAATTAGACCATCAATTACACTTGAAAAAACACATCTTTACAGCAGTGTCTTTCTGGCATTTCACAATAAAATTAAAGGTACGTGTAATTTTGCTCTCGTGTTATTTTTGTATGTTTTGTTCCACTATTTCTTCTGTACATTTTTTATAATGTACACTATAATCATTAATGTAATAATAATGTATAATACTTTCTTTAAAAAGGTCATATCGAGACAATTAAGTGCTTTTGCACTTTCAGATTTTTTTCTCTCACTATATGATTATTATATAATGTATTATGTATCGTACCGTATTAGTTGGAAATATCTGGAGAAGCACACCCTACCGGTGACAGCGTTCTTATGCTTTTGCTTCAGATTTTGTACTGTTATTTGTTGCCGAAATGAATAAAACACCAAAAAAATAAAATATGTCAAATTGGATGATGGCTTCAGATCTAAGAAAATTATCGAAAGCATTTTTCTAAAAATTTGAGCAAGATAATAGGTTCACATACATTTTTCGCACACGTACAGACGTTTTTCATCGCATCGGAAGTCATTCCATTTGCCTGAACTATAATAGTATTCAATACAATTCTCTGAACAATTTACATTGTTTGGTTCTTCACTTGCGAAATCTATGAGGTAAAAGACAGTAAACGTTAGAGCAAACACAATTTATGGTTGTCTGAATGGATGCAGATGACTTATGACTGTACTATTATTATTTTGTTGATTATAGCTAGTTAAGCGTAACTGGTTATATTTTACAACAATTAAAATATGGGTGGATAGTAATATATTATAGTATTATATATATATACATATAAACATAATTATGTATATCATACAAGAAATACATAATAGTGTATATAAACAAATATTTGACAAACAAAAATGTGTTTAAAACACAATGGATAAATAATAACACAGTGCTCAAATAGCATGATGTTAGTTATAATCATATCAAACAGCCCCTTCAGCTGTATAAAAAAGTGTGCCTGGCGGGATTCGAGTCTGCAATCTCTCACTATCAAGGCAAGTGTTTTTTGTGTACGATGCTACGAAGCAAACCTAATTTTTCACAGCTACAACGTAAGCTTTTCTAGCGAATTCAGCTCCACTATGTGTGACAGTTTCATTCAGTTGTATGAAAGACAGTGGATAGGGTTAAGTCTGCACGTATACCCTATAGGTCTCCATGGTCTAATAGTAATATTTTTTGCAATATATTTTGTGTTTCTGGAGTGTTACAATGTACCTGAATATTGAAATGTTTTCACAGAATAGGCCTATATGAAAAATGTTCAACTTTTTAAGAGAAAGGTACAGTAATTCAAATGGTTAAATGTCAAATTAAATTAAACATATAGTTAAGTATCTGATAGGCTAACTGGCAAATATCCTTACGTGAAAAATTGCTGCATTCATCACTATCAACCCATATAAAGTGGTTTTCCTTCTTCATATCTGTCAGGCCTAGCCAAAAATTACTCTTCAATTTGTTACACAGGAATTCGTTCTCTTCTTGATTTCTCACAATGACAAGGTTCGAATTCATACTAAGACATTCAGTGTGGGCGTCTTCCCAATTGGCTTTACTGGTTTCAACAAATTTATAACAACTGCTGTCAAACGATTCCCATCCTTTTTCACACGAACACACTACTAAAATTTGAGCATAAAATACAAGTATCTACGGAGCCCCTAAAGGGACATGGTTAGAATAGATAATGAACTACTTCGAAATAATATTTCGTTCACCCGAAATAATATTTCGAGGGAACATTTCGTTCCCTCAAAATATTATTTCGTTCTATCGAAATATTTCGTTCCCGCGGAATAACAGTTCGTTTCTTCAAAATAATATTTCGTCCAAAAATATCTGATAAGCTTGCTTGTAAAACATCAGAAAAGGATTTAATTACGGTAATGCCATCAGGAAATAGTTGAGGTATACGGAGGACTATTGTTGTTATTTAAATTTTTATTTCCAACTTCTTCCGTTTACAATTTAGTTGTTTAGAGACTGACCTATGGCAGAAGGTAATACGGTAAAAACTGCCATGGCAAAAATGGCCCCAATAATAATTCGGGGCCATTGTTTTCCAGGGCCACTTTTACCTACATTTTCTTTTGATTTTCTAATAAGGAAGGTTTATTCCGAATTACCTTTACGACTATTCGACTCAACTGTATTTATCTATGAACAGCTGAAGCTTGAATCAAATATTTACATAGAAATACATTAAATTTTACAATTACAATTTTCATATTATTTTTTATTAAGTAGCAGATGATAAGAAAATTCATAGAGGTGTCTGGTCTTGCGACAATCGTTCCTCTTCTTTAAAGCCAGTTTCGGAGGAACTTTTTTTTTATATGTTGTAAAACTAATTTTTCTAAGACACACAAAGTACATTTAACGAAAAACTCGGAAGCGGTTAATGAGATACAGATTTTTGAATATTTAAAAACTGGGGGAAAGGGGCGTAACCATCATTTTCTCCAGCTACATATCAATTTCTTTCACTGGAACCTGGCTTTAACGTTCAAAATGTAGTAATTACTGCCAACATGTTTAAAGTTTTAACCATCTACATCTCACATACATGAGCATTTTTAATTCCAAAATACCTAATGAGTGAAATAATTTCGATTTTCAGCGGAGGAATAATAATAATCTTTTACAACATAATAATAATAATAATAATAATAATAATAATAATAATAATAATAATAATAATAATAATAATAATAATAATAATAATATGTCGCTCTTATATAGCGCTTCATGCACAATGCCTCTAAGCGCTTCACATTACTACCCCGGTCATTGGATCAAACACATATGGAACACATACTCAGCTCCCTGGGGAGAATTCCTTAATATTGCAGCTAGTAATCAGCGCAGTTGTGTTCGGACCTACCAGGTACCCACTTGTACTCCTGGGTGGAGAAAGGCAACCGTTGTAGATAAAGTGCCTTGCCCAAGGACACAAGCGATTTGCATAACGAGAGTTCCGAACCCCCGACCTCGAGGTTGGGAGTCCAAGCCACAACCGATGCGCCAACCGCTTCCACCATGGATGAATCAAAAGCAAATAATTACCTGTATCTAGCTTGATTATACAGCAAATAAACAATATGACTTGTGCCCTGAATGTCTGCATACTGACAAGATTGCCAATTATTAAGTAATTGCGTTGCTACACTATAGTACCGCATCAGTGAAAGGAAATAAATGGATATACTGCAAAATGTACTTTGTTTCCGTTTCTAACACATGATGTTGACCATTCCACTGATTATTATCATTAGAGCAGAATCGATGCGATCTTTATTTTAAGATTCATTCGTGCTCATCTGATCAAATCCATATTTGGAGATAATCCCCCCCCCCCAAAAAAAATATAGATCAGTCACGAGAAAATTTTGACTTGTACCACTTCATTCAAGGAAGTGTTTTGAGTCAGATGATTGGTAGGTAAGGAACAATAATAGTTGTAAGTAAAGTTCTGCTAAATTTGAGAGTCAATTGATGTTCAAGGACTTGCACCCTTTTGAAAAATTCTCGAATATGAAACTTGATGCATTGTATCGCCGATTATTGTTGAAATCATATAACATAAGCAACCTAATCGGTTACGCCTATGTAATTTTGAAATGACATTGCGGTCGTAAAATGGGAGAACCAATCCCCTTAAAAATATGTGGGGGGGGGGATGTCTCCCATGATCTGCGCCCATTTCCATTGGTTACGTATTTTGTATTTCATTTTCAAAAATTCTCCCAGCGTAATAGTGTCCAGAAGGGTCTGTAGGCAGGGTCATCGGATCCTTCGTTACTACACCACTGTTTAATGGGAAAAACATGAAATTCTCGACGTTGTCGTGCCTATAATCAAGATTGGAAAGATAAACTGATGTATCGTTAGAAGCATACATTACACTGATGTTATCGTTACATTACAAAGTATAACGACAAAAGTGAAAGCGTTGTGTATGAAAACTTACAGCAGTGGAGAAAATTGAACGTAACTCGTGCCTCAAATAAAGTCCATTTTTTCCCTCCAAATTTCACTTTCAGTTGTTGGATAATAAGCAAATTTTAAGGTAAATACACACACACGCTCCCACACACATACACTCTGTATATACACATAATAATAATAAATATAAGCCTATATAATAATATATAAATATATGTGTATTATAAAAACAGTATATTTAATATATATTCAAATATATATTCATATATATATATACATATATATATTCATATACATATATATTCTATATTCATATATATATATATATATATATATATATATATTCATATATTGCGCAATGTTTGCATTGGTTGTTGGTAATCGATTTGCATAGCAATTGGCTGAAGAAGGAAAGTAGAAGTGGATACACAAATTTAAAAAAAATCAGTAATAGATAACATAGGCCTAGCAATAACATTGACTGTTCGACTTTCATACAATTATTCTTTACGTTGTCGATAACGACAATTATATTTGATCAATGACTTCGATCGTGACCAGCTATTAAATTGTAGATCTGATTTTGGCATGTATCTATTTTATACATTGAAATCAATATCGGTAGTCTATGCGTTGGTCAGACTTGTACTCTTTGTCGAAATGACTTCTGCTTAAGTGTTCGTGCACAAACTGTCAAACAAAAACAACGTAATGATAAATACATTATGTAGCGAGCAGGCTTTTAATTTATAAACGGTAAAAGATACCAAGATTGTAATAAGTAATTTCGTAGTCTGTACTGCGCATGCCCGTATTCAAGGTCAATTGACATAAACCTATGTTGTGTTTACGTCGATTGACCTTGATATGCGCATGCTCAGTTCAGAAGATATTCCTCCATTTAACTATGTACTGTATATATTTCATTTTAAAATTCAGAATGTAAGCTTCTTACCAATTGTTCATCGCCTGTCGCTATGTACGGCCGATGAAAGTCAGTAGGCATCGTTTTGTTGTATTCACCAACCTTTTGATAAGAAACAAAAGTACACTTAATATTATACGATAGTTCTGTCTGAATAAGCTGAAATAATGATGCCAAAAATAATAACGTCAAATGATGATTGGAAGTAAGGGTGGGGATGTCGATAATAATTATGGTGACGATGGAAACAATAAGCATGATATAAAAAGTGTGAAATGATGATACAAAAAAGTACGATAACTATGATGACGAGGGAAACAATGAACATGATACAAAAAAGTGTGAAATGATGATGATGATGATGATGATGATGATGATGATGAGGATGATGATGATGATGATTAATGACGACAATACTGATAGTAATTATGGTGAAAAGATAATAAAGGTAATGGTGAAGTTGAAGAAAACAAATATGGAAATAATATTGTCAACGATGATAAGACATATAGTTTTAAAAACTGGTATTAATAATAATAATAATAATAATAATAATAATAATAATAATAATAATAATAATAATAATAATAATAATAATAATTTATTACTTACAGCTGGTGAGGTCAGCATCATACCCCTGTGGTACCGGGCAAGCCTATCAGAATGAGATGAGCTGGAAACACTATCACTATTTAGATAACCAAACCTATACGGTATTTGTCGAGGATCTTTAAAATGAAAACATTTTCTCAAATGTATTCTCTGCTTGTACTTCAACCACAAAACGGTGAGAATGAAACAGACTATCAGAAGAACAACGATTCCAACAGGCAGTCCGATAACCATATACATCATTGCATCTGAAAATTTTAGAAGAGTCAACATATAAATATAAGATCACTTTTCGTATTTACTATTGTTAATTGTTTTAATCCCGAATGTTTTATTGTACTGTTAACAAATATTATTTTAAGAATGTGTCTGTGATTTTATATTGTACTTATGTACCCTGTTAATGGCGTTCACGCTGTTGGGTAAAATGAAATAAAAAATAAATAAAAAATACATTATATTGGGCGGATCCAAGAGTGTCAACGACGTCATGCCGCCCCAGCAACCACTAAATGAGTATAACATTCGCAAACGTTGAGAACATTGTGAACGTTGTGGCGAGGTTATGTCTGAAAATAATATTGCACGTTTAAAGATGGAGAGAAGGAATTAAAACATTAAGACCTACTGTATTTTTCTTGGTCTTGGCATGTGTCACCGTTATATTGAGAGGTACATGTACATACGGGTGGCTGAACACTATTATCACAAGTTTTACCATTTTCACAAAAACCAGAAGCACAAAATTCCACTGAAAGAAATGTAACTACACGTTATTAAACACAAAACCTTTATATAGCACTATTCTAACAATAATAATATGTAAACCAATTAATTAATTTTGTAATGTGTACATAATACCATAATATAATTATTCCTGTTATTCTTAAGTTTTTTATTTAATATAATGTAATATTAATATATACATAATAGTTTAAACATTATTATTTGAATAAACGATTTTTTTAATAATTTCATATTTCTTTTCTGCTAACTTAACAAATGGGGTCTGCAATGGTACTGATTTCTATTCTAACAATGTTTGGCGATTTCCTCTCTGAATTTTTATTTGATCTTTGAGCGCAACAAAAGCAAATCAACTGTGTTAGGCCTAATATGTGAAAGAATGTATAATCTTCTGCAATGCCTTAGGGTTGACTACTAGCAGACCTTGATATTAACTGTATACACTATAGCTCTCTAGATTCCTTCTTTCCTAAGTAAACATGACATACCATAAGGCCAACTCAGACAGCGTCGTACGACGCAGCCCGACGCGATTTTTTGTCGCGTCGGGTCTGTGTGAGTTAAACGCAGACGCGATGTCTTGCGTCGGGGGCAGTCGAGTCGTAGAATATTAAACATGTTTAATATTTCTCACGATGGTTTAGGACTGTCTTCGACGATAAATCGCGTCGGGTTGCGTCATATGACGCTGTATGAGTCGGCCTTTATGTAACGTATTTTTAAACAATTCTCACTTTTTATCACAATTACCGATGCAGTGTCAATAGTAAATTCAGTCCCAGGTAAAATGCCCGAATCAGTTGAATCTTTTAGAATCATTTGTAGTTCATCGGCGTAGGTAGCGCCTTGTGAAAATTCGAGTTGTAAGTTAACGATAATACTGCCAGATTCAAAACTCGAAACTGAACATAAAAGATCGTCACTTGATATATCGCTTCTATCAACGTATACAGATGTCACCTGAAATAAAAATAATAAAGTGTATAATGTATTAAGGAATATGTTTCGGCAACGCCTATAGCTTGGACTCTCAACTTAAAAGTTTGGTACGAAACCTTGTGTAAAGTAAATCGTTTTCATTCGGTGCAACGACTTATCCCTTCACAAA